TATATATATATAAAAGCCCAAAAAGGCTAATATATTAAATAGAAAGAAAGATACAGATACAATATGTGGGAGGGTCCAAGCGTGGCACCCTGCCCACACAAAAATCACAAATGATTCCAAAACTAGAAAAAAATAGAAAAATACATTAAATACTAAAATAAAAAATCTAACAGTGTCGAAATACATAGTATCAGAAGGCTAGAGAGTGACCAATTTGGTCTTGCCTCTGCCTCTAATTCTAGGGTAGAAGCGAGCTAATAAGCTGGTAAGATGATTGTCATTGCCAGTACTAATCAATGTATCATCCAATATGTTCCCGAGCTGGAGCCGACCTCCATTCTTCTTCTTCCTCCTAGAATAGACTTGTCATTCCTCTTCCGAAGAATCAGTTTGATGGGGTGGTAGAACTAAAGCAAAAGGATTGCCAACCGTATTACCCACTAGGTTATAGTAAATGTGAAGTATAAGTTGTCTCTACACCTGAAACTTCCTAAAGAAGTGGAGCAATGAGGCTCTCCTGATTATCAGTCTGAACACTATCATTTGTAGGTAATAGTTCATCAGTATTATTTTTTATGGAGTTTGAGAGTGTCAGCATCACATCACTCGCAGTAACAGCAATAACAGTCTCATGGGAGGTTCCTCAGGGGCAATAGACACCTCCTGTCTGGTAATATCCTCCCCAGGTGGAACTAAAATGTTCAAAGCAGTGGGGTTGGACCCATCCTTATTCACTTGAACCTTAGATTTCAAATTTGGATGAAACTTGTGGCATTTATCAAGGACATGACCAAACATCTTACAATGAGTACAATATGGGGGTCTGTGCTCCATAACGATTTGTTGTCAATAACCATTATGGGTTGTGCCCAGCCAGACTTCAGTAACATCAAGTAAAGTAATATCCTTTTCCACAAGTATTTTGGTCACCGAGAATCTGGTTAGGTTGAAAGTAGGCAGATCTAGGTTCAAAAGATCCTCAAGGATGGCCCCAATAGAGTAGAGAACCTGATGATGAAAAAAATGAAACTTGAGACCAGGTAAACTAAATCATACCGGTACAGCGGGAGTTTCATGACGGGAGTTTCATGATTTTGATTTAAGTCGAAATCAGAAGATCACTTGAGTAGCTTCATAAGTTTACCAGCAATATTAAGATATTTTTTGGAGAAAATCCGAGTGTAGTCTTCAGTCACGGTTAATTAAATCAAAACATGTCTCTCATCCATGAGCCTCACTTTCCACTTTCCTATTAATTTGAGGTCATCAAAACTTTTCCTAATAACCTCCATAGGTGGGTGTCCCCACTGAAATTTTCCAATAAGAGTAAATTTGAATTTATCAGTCAGGGTTGAAATTTCTGACTCTAAGAAAAAGAGTGTTGTTTTTTCACTTTTTCTGCTTGCATTCTTAATAAAGAGGCAGTCACCTATACTATCACGATTCTCCTTATAACTTGATGAGAACACGACCACCATCTCCCCCTAAGAATTACCCACAACGTGGGCAAAGAAGGTTTTGTCAAATTCACCCGAAGAAGAACGTCGAGAAGCCCTGCAAATCGAGCAGAGGGCCGAAGAGGTCGGTGCGTTGTGCAGAAGACAGTAAACCGCAGACAGAAACCGCATATGAGCTCGACAGAGTCGAAACCTCAGTTCGACAAAGCCGCGCAGGAGAACCGCGGCGAGACGTCGCCGCAGAAAGTCGCAGGCGTCGAACAGAAAGCCGTAGATGTGAACTGTCGGGCGCAGACGCGAACGGTTGTTATGCGAACTGTAAGGCACAGACGCAAACTGCTTTATTCCCTTTCCTTTTCTTCTTCGGCGCTCGGCTAGGGCATGTGGTTCCTTTCTACGGCTCATATATATATAATATATATATATAAGACCAAACATTGAAATAATAAGTCCACCATGACTAATTAAGATGATCGCTTATTTAAATACATGCTCTAAGGTTTATAATCAAGTGATTATATTAACTAAATCACCTCTACATTTTCAAAAAGTTAAATTAGTTAATTACCACTTACAAGGAAGTGCTTGCAGCTTCAACCGTTAGACTGCAGGCTTCGGTTAAGAACTTAAGACATCAACTTCAAAAGCTTCGACTGAGGACTTAATAAGTCCATCATGGCTAATTAAGATGATCGCTTATTTAAATACATGCTCTAAGGTTTATAATCAAGTGATTATATTAACTAAATCACTTTTACATTTTCAAAAAGTTCAATTATTCAATTACCACTTACAAGGAGGTGCTTGTAGTTTCAACCGTTAAGTTGCAGGCTTCGGTTAAGAACTTAATACTTCAACTTCAAAAGATTCGACCGAGGACTAGCGGCTTCAATTCCTAGCTTCGACAACAACAATGCTTGATTGAGGCATTCAACGTCAACTTCAACAAGGAGTTATAGCCTTGTCTTCGATGAAAAAAAAGAGTGCCTCAACGCAGGGCAACAACTACTTCGAGTCCTGCTCAGGCTTTGGCAAGAGGAACGTTTTTGGTCCAGCTTTCGACCTCAATAAAGATTTATGGTTTCAACTTGAGCTTCAATGAATAAGAAGAGTGCTTCAACTCCTGTTCAAGTTTCGGCACTGAGAATGCTCTAAGTAAGGGCTTGCAGCTTGCAATGCGCTATTACAGCTTCAACTTAGACAAACGACGGGGAAAAGCATCGACATAAGGTTAAGATCAAAGGGAGGCGCTTTGATTAATAGGTACAAGTTAGGGCTATCAATATTATATGCGGCCTTATAAATTTCACTACCGGTCATGTGCTTTTTTTCCAAACTTGTGACAGCCTCGTTATACAGACATGTCAGAGTTCAAAAAATATTTTGACATTTTAAGTACTGTCAAACACATGCCAAAGCATATTAGATCAGTCTCTGTGTATAACATAAAAACGGCGCATATTTGGAAGTGCAGTGCTCCACCAGAGGTGACCCAAGTAAAATCTTTGTATCTTTGCTATATGTTTTTCTTGTTGCTCTGGTATTTCTTTGAGAAATTCCCTTCATTAGCTCTTTTCATTGATTAGTTAATAATGATATTCTCTGCTAAAAAGATCATCAAAGCACCGTATACATAATGGAAAAGAGGGTAACTGTTAAAAATTTTAATAAAACAACCCACAGATCTCAAGAAGTTGATGATTCTGTCACAAAATAGAGTAAGAGAACAAGCATAACTCACATTACAATGTTGCTCATACTCACAAAGCCCGTATGCCACTGTTTACTCATGGCTTCCAGTCATGTACGTTTCAAGATCAGTTATATTATCTTCATGGTTAAATTCATGCATTTGGGCCTCACAAGCATTTTGATTATAGCCATGGTTATTTTAAATAATTCTTATTGAGTGTAATTTTTGAATATTGAGGACCGTAGCATATAAACAGGAAAGGATGATTAAGTGCGAAGAAAAACTTCTCTCAACATGGATGTTAAATTATCTCATTCCAAATATGAAGCTTGATGAATTGCCACCAGAATCTGCCTGGTCAATGCTATTCTTTCTATTATTCCTATTTTTTTAAATTCCATCTTTTCCTCTATTTTCCTTCTCTATTATTACAGAGTTATTATCCTCCTACCCCATTTTTCTACATCTGACAGTCATGTTCAATAACAAGACAACATCCAAAACTTCCACATTAGTATTTTGCAGTACAAGAAGAATTTCATATATCTCATAACAAAAAAAAGAAACCCAATCAAGATTTTTACTAGTAAATAGTCATTTAAATGTAAATAGTGTGACATTTCTATCTTATAAAGAAGTTCAAGTAAGGAATGTTCTATAACTTGGAGAAAACATTATGAACCCAAATCGAGCTAGAAGAGCATTTGAGCGGATCCAAAAAAACTACATATGACACTTTCGCTGCACCGCAAATGACCTGAAAAATTGAGGATTGCAAATATAGAATTCTTCCAACATGTTTTTTTTTTTTTTTTTGCATCTTCGTCTTCTACCATACTGCCATCAAACATGTAATAAAATTTCAAGAAAATCACCTAATCAATAAATGAAATGTGCAACAACCACTTGACAACTGATGCAAACGTGAAAAGACATGGTGATAAAAAATTGTACCCACAGAACGGCAAGAATTATGGAAAAAGTAATTCAACCTCAACAAGACTTCATGGGTGCTGCATGGAATCAAATCTCTTGTTTATAGAAAATAAGTAATGTGAAGGTTCATGAGGATACCAGTTTGGGTATAAATAATAGACTAATTTGATTGTGCTTAAATCTAGCATGGACCGGGTAATCCCAGAACCACTCGTACTTTATTGCAGAACAAAAAACCCATTATTTCAGCTTCCAAAAACAATTTTACATGCAAGACTTTAAAAAGCCGTTCAACCTTACCAAAGCTATAAAGCGCCTGATAAAAAGCAAAATCCAAACCACATCAAAAGGCAGGATTATAAAAATTGCTTGTAAATCAATAACTAGAACAAGAAGAGTATAATGAAAAAAATAACATGTAGGAAAAACCTTCGCAAATACGCAAAGAAGCTCTTCATGAGACAAAATAGCTGCCTTGCGATACATGCAATACAGCTCTGCTCCAAATCTACCATGAGGTAGCCAATCAGCAGGAGCGAAATTGACAGCCTCAGCGCAATTTAAGCCTAGGAAGGCAAACAATATTCTATGTATTTAAAAATGCAGACAATCATATCGCATGTCACCTAAAATTTAAAAATTTAAGCATACAAACTCACCAAAATTAAAACCCGCATGGAAAGACTTAGGAAAAGTAATGACAAAATTTCCAGGCTCCTGGTAAAAAGGACACAATATACAAAAGAAATTAAACAGGATAGGCCACCCAAGTAAAATAAGCATGACATTACAAGTCAGATACACCAGATCAAAAATATTGAAGATCTAAAAATTGCTACAATCTTGCATATTCAAGATTCATGAATTCCAGACTGATTGTGAAGATGTAGATGTATAATGTATACTGAAAACCTAAACAAAATCCATGTTTCAAAATATGGAAGATGGATATAAAATATGCTTATACAAAAGGTATTAACACATTATCTAACTTTCAATAATTTTATTCAAAAAACCCCAGGAGGATTTTTTAGTCAATTTTGTGACTTAAACAGTGTGTTAGTCCTGTAGTGGCAATATATAACTGACTTACTATCCACCGTTTTGATGTAGGAAAGCAGTGTTAATGCCTTTTGTGCAAACATTTGTTATATACAAATTCCATATTTTGACATACGGACTTGTTTAGATTCGACAGACATTATATCTCTGCAAAGTTAAACTCCAGAATAGTCTCTCAACTACTTACTTGTATGTAGCCAATTCAACCCCCTGGCATCAAATTTCTCCAATTTAGTCCCTCGACTATACAATATTGATCCAAAATGATCCCTTGGGGGTAAATTGGGATCAATTTTTTTATTTTCAAGAACCAAAAATGGATCAACTTTGTAACAAAATTCCCATGAAGGACCAGTTTAGATCAATTTTGGAGATTCTACGAATTAAATTAGATAAATGTGATACTCAGAGATTAATTGATCACACCTCAATAATCGAGGCACTATATTGCGAATTAATCTAATGAATATATGATACAATATACTAATAATATAAACAGTAATATTTAACAGACACTATAAGAGAATTAAGTGTGAAGAAAGTCCTGCTTGAATCCTGTCAGCTATTTAGTTATAACATCCTCAGAAATTCCTTCCCATAATCAACAAGATTTCTTGTAACTCATTTATTTCAAGCATCTCTAAGTTGAAAACATATCAAGCAAGGTCAAATCATGTGTAAAATGACTAAACATAAGAAAAATATATATCCAAGTCTAACATAGTTCGTTTGAAATAAGATTGTCATCATTCCTAAGACTTCCACACTTTATTTTCATAAAATCAGTTCCCCTTTTTTATGAGCCACTGACGAATCCTTTCACTTGAAAAGAAGCTGTCTTTAGGGGCCACCAACGGATTGATTGAATTTCAAGGGACTAGAACTTGGTTGTAAGAATTAGATGAATAGCTACGGCTTGGGTTACTATTGAATCAATCCCAACTACTTTTATAAAGAAGTGGTCATTTCATGTCTGCTGAATGCATTGAAAGCTTGCCACAAAGTATCAAAAAGCATCTAACAAAAGCACTTAAAACTAATTTGCAGAAATAAAGGAAAACGTAGCAATTCAAGTTATAAACTCATCTCTTAAGTATGAATTTACTGTAAAAGTACGTTGTTTTTTTAAACTAACCTGCATGACACTGTAAACCGGAATACCATTATCACGCAGGACAGATGGATTGAGCATAGTCACAAGTTGGAAGAGCAGATCAGGTTGTGCATCAAATAGATCTGGTAGAGTATTCCTCATGACCTGTGGCATGATTAAATTAAAAAAATTAGTTGCAAGTTATGAAATGTTTTGTGCAGGTAACCAGCAATCTATGCGAAAAATCTCCATCCAAAACAGTTACATCTACATGAAAAGTTTAACTACGCATGGGAGAAATAGCAAAGCAAGTGATGTGACATATTTAAGGATTCTAATTTCTAGTAAGTACCTGCTCAAATGCAGAAGCTTCTCTACCAGGCACACCATACCAACACTTTGGATCCCCCCTGAAAAAACATGATGGCCAAATCAAAACAATTACTGAATTATAGGAGAGGCAACCATTGCTAAGCACATACACAATATCTAAATAAAAATGTATAATTTAACAGTTATCATCCATTTTTCAATTATTATGGCCAGCTTCATCACTCTTCTTATTAACCAAATTTATTATTGATAAAAGCAGAAAAGATTAAAGTTATTGATGGCATGGAGAATGGCAAAGCTGCTGGTCCGGATGGTTTCACTGTTGAATTTTATAAGAATAGTTGGGATATTATTCATCATGAACTTGTTGAGGTCATTCAGGATTTCTTCTGTGGTAATGATATGCCCAGACATTTTAACATTGTTCTGGTTCCTAAGGAGAATGGTAAGAATTCTTCGAATGATTTTAGACCTATCAGCATTAATATTGTTGTGTCTAAGATTATTTCTAAGATTATGGATAAGAGAATTCAACCTATTTTAAATTGCATTATTTCTTTAAATTAGACTGTCTTTCTTAAAGAAAAGCAGATTGAGGACAATGTTCTGACTGTGCAGGAATTGTTGTTTGATCTTGGTAAAAGTAAAAGTTGTGTAATGTTCTTTTTAAGATGGATATTAAAGGTGTGTTTGGGGGCTTTATTCACAGCGGTGGTGTTTTAAAAAAGCCATTTCCTGTTTGGAAATTACATTTTACAAGATTTTCTCAAAACTCCATTCTGAAATTTGTATTAGAAGCGGATCGAGGCTTCCTACCCGCAATCCGCGTTTCATTTTCTCGAAAGACAAAATAAGCCCTGGTGTTCGCTTCCTCACGGGCTCACCTCGTCTGCCTAGCGAATCGCCCGACCACCTCGTTCGCTTCCTCACGCGCTCACCTCGTCTGCCCTAGCAAATCGCCCGATCACCTCGCTCGCCCTTTCTCGCTTCCTCACGCGCTCACACGTTCGCTCGCTTCCTCCTCCTTCGCTCGCTCGTTCGCTCGCATCCTCCTTTGCTTCCTCCTCGTTCGTTGGCTTCCTCCTTCGCTTCCTCCTCGCTGGAATATTATGAGTTTTTTTTTTAGTTTATTGTTATTTATTTAGATTTTTTGGATTGTGTTATGGTGGAGTATTGATTGATGGTAAAAAAAATTGGATTTTGAGATTCAAATACGTGAATTAATGAATTGTGGATGGAGTTTATGTGGAAGGTGGATGTTGATGATTTTCTAAATTCAATTTAGATTTTGGTTTTCTTGTGCAATTTTTGGTTTTGATGATTTTGACTATGAGAGTTTTTTTTTATAAATTTAAAGATAAATGCTCATTTATGCTGAATTATTTCATTTGTTTCAGATTTTTCAGTGGTTTTATCTGTGGATTTCTTTATCGATCAATTAATTTATTTGGATATGTTCCAGATTCGTGCTGACGCTTTGTCTAAATATTGAAACTAAGAAATCTGCAAATCAGTTGTTTTCAAATCGCACAAACAAAACAACTTAACTAAAACAGGGGCACAATGATCATTTATCCAGGATCAGCTGTTTTTCAAACTCACAAACCAAACAGACAGACAGTTTACCCGGATCAGCTAATTATCACCAACTTATCAGGATAAGCTGGATAAGCTGCAGCTGCCCCCAAACAGACCCTAAGAAAGTTTTTGATTCTATCAAGTGGAAATTTTTGCTTGATGTTATTAAAGTTGTTGGCTTCAATGATGATTTTTGCAATATTATTAAAATGATTTTAAACAATAACTATTACTCTGTTATTATTAATGGTATCTCTAGTGGTTATTTTATGGCCTCTAAAGGTATTAAGCAGGGGGATCCTTTTTCTCCTTACCTATTTATTCTTGCTTTTAACTATCTTTCTAAGTGTCTTAACAATCTTTTTGAAAAGTATCATAGTCTAAACTATATGCATAGAAGTGGTATTAGCATTTCTCATCTTTGTCTTGTGGATGACCTTATTCTTTTTACTAATTCTCATAAGAGATCCATCAAAAAGATTTGAACGGTGATCTCTCATATGCAAGATGTATCTTGTTTGGTTTTTAACAATTCTAAATGTTATTTTTATTGTTCCAAATATATATCTGCTGATAAGAAGAACTGAATTGTTGATTATACTAATTGTGTTAAGGCTAATTTACCATTGAAATATCTGGGTTTCATCCTTGACAAAAAAGTTAAGAAGAATTATCTTTTTTTTTAATTGTTTGATAAGATTAGAATGTGGATTCTTTCTTGGGAGCATAAGTTCTTATCTTTCGATGGGTGTGTTGCTTTACTTAAGAGCATCCTTACCTCTCTTCCTCTTTATATTATGCAAGTGATGTATATGCCTCTTGGTTTGATTAAGAGGCCGGAGATATTGTTTAACAAATTTCTTTGGGAGCGTTTTGGTAAGAAGAATATTTATTGGAAGAGCTGAGAGAAACTTTGTAAACCGGTTGATAAGGGTGATCTTGGTTTTCGTAGACTTATTGATTCTGTTAGAATTAACTATATGAAGCTTTGGCTTAGGTTTCGAATGGATAATTTCATTTGAGCTTCTCTGCTCCGAGCCATGTATTGCTCTACTTCTCATCCCCTTTCTATTTCCTTTTCTAAAAATGATTCTTTTATTTGGAGGGAGATGCTTAAGGTCTCTTCTCAAGTAAAAGAGATGTTATGTTGGGATGTTGGCAATGGGGATGTGGCTTTTTGGTATCAGGACTGGCTTGGTAAGGGTGCTCTTGGTGACTTTTATGAGGCTCAGGATAGTAATATGAAGGTTAAAGATTTATGGGTTGGGCAAAGTTGAAATTTGTCTCAGCTGGTTACTATAATGCATTATAATGATGCTAAGTTTATCTCTCAAATTCCTATCATACTTGTTAAAAAAGATGTTCCTAAAGTTAAAGGTAAACCTGGTGATTTTATTACTAAATCCTTTGTCAATCATATTTTTTCTTATCAGGGAATGGATCTTAGCTGGAATTGGAATAAATGGGTAAGGCCATCTATTTCTTTTTTTGTTTGAAGGGTTTTTCATGAGATCATACCTACTAACAAAATTCTTAAGCTTAAAGACATAAGGATTGCTTCTAAGTGTGTTCTCTGTATGAATGTTGAGGAGTCTCTTTGTCATATTTTTAATGATTGCACTTTTGCTTTGGATATTTGGAATAGTGTTTTTGATATTTGTGATAGAAGGGACGTTTTTTATGGGTATCCTAACATTGCTGCTATTTATGATGATTGGAAGGATAAGGGGCATGATTTCTTATATAATATACCTTTTATTGTTCTTTGGTTTATTTGAGTTTCTATAAACCCTATGAGATATTCTGATGAGACTATTACTGCTAGGATTACTTTCTCCAAAATTTATTCTTAGTTGTTCCTATATGAGTAAAAGGTGTGAACGATTTAGATATCTTGGTTCTGTGCATACTAACAAAGTGTATGTGAAAGTCATTCTTATTAAACTCTCTCTCAGTTTTACTACTAATTCTCATTCCTTTTGTAAAGTAGTTTGGAATAAACTTTATGCTCCTTTTCTTAAAATTAATTCTGATGGGAGACGCTTAGAATGAAAGGAAAATTGTATAAGACTGTGGTCAGACCTGCAATGTTCTATGGCGTTGAATGTTGGTATTTAAAAGAGTAGCATAACAATAAGTTAAGTGTTGTCGAGATGAGAAAAGTGGTTCTGTCATTTATTGGTTTGCTGCTCCTCTTCTTGTTTCTCTGATTGTTGTAGAAGCTGATGCTATTGTCATTTATTGATTTGCTACTCCTCTTCCTATTTCTCCGATTGCAGGTATTGGAGGAGTTTGTGGGACCTCTTTTCTGGTTTTGTACTTTACTCTATTGGACTAAAATGAGGAGCCAAATAATGCTCTTTTATAAAAAAAATGAAAGCAGCAAAGAAGAAAAATAGATCTTTCACAATGGATGTTGACAAAGTGCTTGGAAAAACATATAGAGTATCTGTGAACTCATAGAGTATTCAACCTTGTGGCTTGTAATAGAGGTCATCAAACTGTCCATAAGATAAAATCACAAAAAGATATCTACTCCATAGAAGATATTGCCCTCTCTTCCTTTCTTTAGAGGGCGTACACGTAAGTAAAATAAAATTGAGTTCCACCTCCTTCTCAAAGAAAGTGCTAATCCAACACAATTCAATTAAGTCAAACCATTTGCAACACTAAATTCCAATTGTGCATCATATAAGCAAACTAACCAAAACTTCAATAGTAAGTCATCTCATGCTAGTCATAAAAATGGCCAAATATTTCCTGAAAAACAACTTGAGAAGGAAGTGACATTTGTTTGAAGACAAACAAAAATAAAATACAGAAAACGCGTTTGAGCAAACAGAATATTGAGAAAAGAGAGCGTTAGAAAAAGGGAGATGTCATTTCAGAAATTATGTAACAAGAGTGCATCATCCAAGCAAACTAAACAAGCTTTCAAGATATCTCAAACTAGCCACAAGAATTGTCAAATAATTAAGTGCAAGATGAAATCTACAAAAAAGAGGATGTAAACATTTTGTCATATAGAAACTTAAATATATCAAGATTGTTTGGACAAGTGCGACATTAGCTAGGAGAGCATTCAAAGAGAAAGTGATACCAATATGTGAAATGGGTAGACTGAGAAAGAAGGACCCCTAGCGTAAAACAAAGAGATTAGAATTAGTTGAAAAGAGACTTAACATATCAGATGCAAAAGATGTCTATAGAGTACTAAAGTTTAGTATTTATAAAAAAGTTTATATGCATAGAATATGATAAATAAAGAAGTAGGATAAATGCTGAAGAGACAACTTAAAATTTCAAAACTAAGCAGCTGAAATAAAGAAACATCTTTATGGTTATATATCAGCTCGGGATATCATAAAAAGGTCAAGGAAAAGTGGAAAGCACTATGAACAGTAATCGGGTTGTACTGTATAAATGCAAGCATTAGTAAGCGCTATAAAAAAAATAGAAAATGAAGATTGCGATGCCAGTTTGTTAAAGAAACGGCTTAAATGGAAAATGACTATATAAAATAGTTAGAGTAAAATGTGAATGAAATCACAGTAACACAGTTGGCTTGTTTGGTCACACAATAAAGATAAAAATATACACACAAAAAAAGATAAGAACACAGAAAATGTGAAAAGCATAAGAAAAATTTCTATGCAAATGATCAAATCCAAAAAGTTTCAAAAAAAAAAAAAATATACATAAATTAATGTTGTACCATATTCAGTGTTTAGTAGGATTGAAAGGGGAAAAAGTTCCAAAAAGTTAAGCACAAAGAGTTAGATAGGGCAGACGGTAATTACTTGGCAACCCTAGTTAATTCTTTAAGAAGATAATTAAACCCAACATACTCATTAAGGGCCTTCTTCTCTTGGGCTCACGGGCTACAATATTTTGACTCTCCAAAAGCATTTCAAGGATAATTTATTGTACAGACTAAAATAACCAACAGCCAAGAAACATGGCTTGTGAAATGAAATCTTAAGTGTAACAATGCCGGGAAGGCTTGAATGGAAAACACATATATGAAATTGCTCGAATATAAAGTAACATGAGATGACAAAAAGGCCTTCATTTGTTTCAGTGGATATAATGAAGAGTATAACCTACAGAAAAAAAAATGAAGGAATGCAAAATCAATGTGAAAGGAAAAAAATAGTTTAGAAAAATGATAAAATCACTCAATTTTTAGAGAAAATTTTATAAAAATCAAAGTTATCGGCATCTCAGTATCTAAAATGAAAAGAAAGGGAAAATTATTCAAAAACTTAACACCAAAGAACTCGATAAGGCTAATGATAATAATTTTATGCTCCTAGCTAATTATCAATCATGACAATTGAACAAAGTAGAAACAATCTAAATTATACATGTATTTCATTGAGCGCCTTACACGCCTATTTATACAATAAGATTCTAGATTACTCTAGGTAGCTTTTACCCATGGAAGCTACAAATTATATAAGGGTTACATGACCAAATTTCTATGATAGAGTATACAAACGGTTAGCCATATTTATAGACATGCATCTATGGGAGTGACAAAAGATATTCTACAGCTTACAAACATTTATTTTACTCAAATAATAAGAGGCATTTATGCCCATTGAAGACCACAGATTGCCACCCTAACCACAATGAAGAACCGCTAGCTTGTAATCCAATAGAAAAACCCAACAAAACTCCACAAAATTTAGAATAGATGTTTTTTTTTTTTTTGCCTAACATGAAAGCAGTACTGGAAAGTGAGCTTGGAAGTGTTTTTGTTTAAAGGTCAATCAACTACTTGTATTATTGGACATATGGCAAACATATCAAACCACTTTCTAATTTTTTATATGAAGTGTTGATCGATTTCTATGTATTTAGTTTGGACATGTTATATTAGAATATATTCAATGTTAATGGCTAATTTATTATAGCAGTATAACTCATAATATATTTCCATTTTATTCAGAAGATATTCAAGATGAGTTTGATCCACAACTCTTCACAAATTTCCTGGGTTATTACTAAACATTTAGCTTAAGTGCTAGATCAGGCAAATAATGAATAACTATAAATCCCAATATGATGAGATTTTCACCTAGAAAGCCCTGTAATCAATAGTAAATTGTCTATTTGTAAGGGATCCCAGCCACTAAAAAGTGGGTTCTAAGCTGCATCTTCTATTTTCCTTAAATAAGAATCATTCTCCCAAACTAGCATTGATGTATTGAAGAGTTTTATATGTCACATATAAATGCATTTCTTTTGGATTAAATATATAAATAAATTTAGAAACGAACATAGGATGCATCTAGTCTTGTGTGGGCAAGATTAATACCCATCTCGACCAACCTTTGATAACTCCTGTTATTGACTTTTGGGTTTTCACTTGCCTCTTCCAAGTTTATGGCAGTGATCAATTGAAAATTATAAGGGGTTGCATCGCAACATGCAAGTTTCATTTTGTAAATCAAAGAGTTTTTTTTTTTTTTTTTTTTTTTTTGGAAAATTAATTTCCTAAGCTCAGACTAGACCACTTCAATTACAAAAAAGTATTTGAATGTTCCAAGATATTTACTTCAAATTTTTGAATAGTTTTTCTTTTACTTCCCATATTTATTTGAGAATGTCTCATGATATAATTATGTAAGCAACATGAACTACAAGCTTTGTGATTTTTTCGTACTTCAATTTCTTTATGAAAGGTTTCATCACCAAGACTTTGTTTGAAGTTCATATTTCCATGGCTTTGATAAAGCTCTTAAACATGCTCTTTAAGATTCCTTGAACTGATATAAACTTTCTTTTTTAACTAGAATAGATGGTTAGTACTAAAATCTTGATTAAAACTTGGTGGGAGTGTTCCATATAAGCTTCTTCTAGTTTGCCGTGAAAGTATACATTTTTTACTTTAAACCGTTATAAGGACCCATCATGATTAGTTGCAAGGGATAGAAATATCTAAATGGTGTTTTAACTTTGTTAATGGTGCAAAAGTTTCTCCGCAATAAACACAATGGGTCTAAGCGTAGTCTTTTGCAACAATTTTAGATGTACGTCTTCTAAGTTTTGAGTGTCCTACTTGCATTGTATTTGATAGTGTATATGCACTAAAATCCAATTATTTTCGTTTAACAATTCTATCACCCCACAAATTCTATCTACTTTTAGAGCTTTCATTTCATAACTCTTAGCCTTTTCTCAATTTTATTATCAGATAATTCTTTAATATTTCTTGGAATCTTAGCATTATTTATCAAAGTTAAAAGTTTTATGAAAGGAGAAAATATTGGAAAGGGAAGCAAAGTTGACTATTAGAAGTTGGGTGCATGTTTGTGTTTCCTTTCCTAATGCAATGAGAAAGTTGATATCAAGAGGGGCTTGAATTTTAGGTAGAGGTCGTATCTTCACTATATGGAGATTGATTTTGCATAAATTTAGACAATTGAGGATGCTATGATTCAATGTTGGACTCTTGCTCTTAGGCTTACCTATAGTAATGGTTTAAATTTATTGGGTGAGGTTGTACAAGGATTGATATAACAGGGTCCACATCTAATTATAGGAAAGTTTAAGGGTTACTTGAACTATACAGGTGAATTGGGTGGTTTGGACATCGAGGTTTAGAAAATCAAAGTTATCATCATTTCAAAGTTTCTCCTTAAGATAACCTTAGTCATGGAATCCTTGATTTTTATAAAAATGACATCCTGAAGAAGAATTTCTAGAATTGGGATGATAACATTTATACCTCTTCAAGTCAAAGAGTGTCCAACAATAAGTAATTTAAAGCTCTTGGATAAAGTTTAGTGTATTGATGATTTTGATAAACATGAGCAAGATTCTCAAAGCTTTTTAATGAGAGTTATCTTAATTCAAAAGCTTCCCCTTAAGAAAACCTAAGTCATAGAATCCATAATTTTTAGCAAAGTTGACATCACGGATAGGAATTTTTAGAATTGAAATGATAATACCTATGTTTTTTTAGAGTCGAGGAGAGCCCAAAAATATGCATTTTAGATCTTTTGGAATGGGTTTAGCGTATTATAGAGTTTGATAAACCTAGCAAAAATTCACAAAGGTTCTTAATGTAATTTTTGAGTATTTTATGTAGGCAAAAAGTATGTGAAAGTTTTAATAATAAGGTTTTATTTCTAGAAAATTTTACTGAGAAAATGTTTTATTGGAAATGAATAAAATAACTTTTCCCAACAATTTTTTGAACATTCCTGTCAAAGAGTAGGGACCAAGTCATCACAAGGTGTTAATTTTTTCATTGTATGACCCATTTTATTGTGAGGTATCAACATAAGAGAACTCACAGATTATGTAATTTTTATGTGAAAAAATAAGGATAAATATTGATTAATACTCCTTCACATTATTAAATCCAAGATGTTTAATATAAACATCCCAAATGGGTAAAGATCACTCATGGAATAATGGGAGGACTGTATTCACATTGAATTTATTTCTCATGATAAAAAGATAATTTAATGTGCGCAATCATTTATAAGAGAAACAACCAATTTAGGCCCATTAATATTAGTGATATGTAATCGTCCCCATATATTAGTGTGAATGAAGTAAAAAAACATTGAGATTCTTGAGTGACTTAGGTAAAAGAATACTTTATTGATAGTGTTTATTTATATTAAATCATTTCATTAGGAGCATTTGAACCTCCAAATGCCCTATTGGAACACTAGAAAAGACAAACAAGCCAGGAAAAAACTCTTCATTGTGTAAATCTCAAATTTCAAAAAAATCATAGAAATCAAAATAAACGGAAAAGTAAATATATATACAAAATTTGTAAATTTGGCAGTTGGCACGTACCAATGCAAATAATTGATTGAATAAAAGCAATGATCCTCAACATGCCAACAAAATGATGAAAAAAGCATTCCAACATAAAGCCAAGGAACCATGACACCCGCAATATTATCATGAACTACACGAAGCATCGAACCCTGCAGCTTTGGAAGATTGTTCAAATTCCAAGGGCTGGAAACATAATGCTGCCACACATCAACCTCAACTGTGGGTAGCACCTGATCTCTGGCACGCGGAAATCCACTGCCATGGATGGAAGTATCTATATCACTCCCATATAATACGTCCAAATCTCCTGCTTTCCCTTCAACAATCTCCCAAAACAGCTTTTCAATCTGCATTCTAGTTGCCTTAAACTGTCCAAACAATTTCCTCCTTATCCTATCATTCATCCTCTTAAAATCATCCAATAAGCACTGCTTTCCAGGAACAAACCCAAAGCTATCCTTGTCCGAATTAAGGCATTCCAAACAATACCAGTTACCTGAAGGAACCCTATCCAAAGGGGGGGAAAGGCAATGCAAGTGCCAACCTTTATCACACTTGTCACAGAGTAGCATTACGTCTCCATGCAAGCCACTGTTACACTGTTCACATATCTGATCTAACGCCCCTCCACTTACCTCTCCCATCTCCTCAAAAGAATCCCTCCGCCTCCTCTTTCTATTCAATGCCTTATCCTTTTCATGACAAATCTTTTCTCTACACTTCTTGACCTTCTTGTTTTCAAAATTCAATTTATATAAATATTCCTCGTAATCAAACAAATGCTCCCTATAGAGCTGACACAAAACGTGCTTGGAACACTCGGATATTTTCCTGTCCGATCGCATAAACTGGGCAACATCACCCCAGCGCTTCTGGTCGCAAACTTTTTCGTAGCCGCCATAACGCTTCACAGCATTGAAAAGATGGCAGAGATTGAGCTCCGACCCATAAAACATAAGTTTCTTCTTAGCTTTCTTACCGAGATGACGCTCGAGGAACCGACCATACTCCAGTTCAAAGGTCGCCGAGTCGTATGAGGGAGGCCGAGCCTGGAGGCGGTGGATGGCCTGGGTCTTCGTAGGGAAGGTTTCAATGTCGCGGGCGAAGGGAGGGTTCCACGATTTCGGCGGTACGATGCAGCAAATACCGTAGGGCTCTGCCTGGGGTCGAATCTTGGAGATGTATTCCAAGGGATCCTTGAACTCGTCGTCGGTGGGATAAAAGACGGGAGCCGGAGGGACAGTGAGAGATCCATCGCCGCGGCCAGGGTGGCGATCGGCGGCGCCGTAGCTGTGCCCTAGAACACCTTTCTCGACTGCGCGAGGTCTCACCTTTCCCATGCGACAAAAGTTGCGGGCTGGACTATGGACTAGAAGGATGGAGAACAAAGGATGGGCTTTGGAGATGTTTACCGATCAAAGATCCGTTGGAATTCTTTTTGGTTGCTTGTGGATAGGGCATCGTTTAGAAGAGAAATTGTTTTTATTGAATTAAATAAAAATATATTCTAAAATGTATTTTATTTATATTTTTTGATAATTTTTTTAGGAATTCTCAAACATGACAAACTATTTTATTCTAAATTTAAATGATTAATTGATAATATCTTATAAAGTTATAATCTATATGGTAAAATTTTCAAGAAAAATGCAGGTGCAACAATAACAACAAATTTATATCTCACTAAGTGGGATTGGCTACATGAATCATTTTCCTCCATCATGTCCTATTGTCATTTTTTTTTTCTTATTCCTAACAAATTAAGCTCTTTTAATGGAAAAAGCTACAGTTTTTTTAGATTTATCTCTAACATTCTTACCATAATTTGAATATAAAATATTTATTCTCCTAATTGAATCATCAAACGATCAATGTTTAATGTGACCAGACTATCTAAGGCAACTCTCTCTAATATTATCTATCATTGGAGCTACAACAATTCTTTCACAAATATATTCACTTTATGAAGAATGCAGGTGATAAATAAAATAGTGTAATCATTAAATTAATAAAATTATCATTTAATCATAATTTATAATTCACATGTGTACATTAAAAATATGATTGAACTAATTTTAAAAAGATATAGCGGTCTAGAAAATAAGAGTAGGACAAAGACTGACTCGTTGTCAAAAGATCTTGGGCTTATCTAACAGAACGAGCAATGTTGTACAAGTCAAGCCAACCAGGCCAAAATCGACTGAGCCAAAGAAAATACAGTCCTGCAAATTACCTTTGACCATCCCGCAGAGAATCCAATGAATCCTCACTAGGGATCGAAGAGTCAACTAGACTAGATCAGCAGAAAAAACCATACCAACCAAGTTGATCTCGTCGACATGAAGTCAACTAAGCTTAGTTGGTTTAGCCAAAAGGTAGCCAGACGATAAGGTTACACCTGTAAAATATTAGAAATACTCTTGCATAGACCCCTTTCAAATGGGGGCAATGTAATATCGCCAAAAAACTACTTTTTCTATAAATAGGGGAAACTTTTATAATGAGAACATTATTCATTATTGTTTCTCTCTTTCGCTCTCGTAATTTTCTTATTTAAGCTCTATTCATACAACTCAAATTAATGCACGATAATATAGCAATTCGCATGATTATACCATAATCATGTCATGTATGTTAAACATGTTAATATATATTCCATTGAATATGTATATTTATACTATAATACATGTAACCATAATATACTGTCAACCACACTAATGACACTGTATATAATTCTTATAATCAGCACAATTATCATCACAAAGTAGATACATTGTCATAATAAAACAGATACATTATCATATATAATGGTAAATTATCAAAATAGTTAGTCAAGTGTCACAATACACAGGAGTCATCACCTCCAATCTATTCGCACTCATATAATATCATATTATATTCGCTCCTTATAATTATAACAATATATCATATTTACACCATCGACCAATTTAAAGAAAAATCTATCGGCCCACCCTTCTGCTCGAGCTATCATATATCTTCCAATCTGAATCATAATATTTAGTCTATTTTACGAACACATGATTCATAAAATCATAACTTTTTTAAGCAATTAAATCATATTCAGCATCATAGTGTATATGAAAAGCTTGCATTTAAAATAAAATGGGAAAATTCGTACTATGCAATTATATGATCAAACTATACTCATCAACCAAAAATTACACATTAAGCCTGCATGTAATCATTCTTACGGTAATATCTCATAATATATATAATTTTATATTTTTTTAAAATAGTTTAAAATATTTATAATCAAGACATTTGCCTCAAATTAAAAATTATAGGGCCAATGTTTATAAAATAAAGAGATATCACAAATGTAACATGTTTTGGACAACATAAAGTTTGAAAACCACACAAAAAAAGCAAAATCAATGAAATCAAAGTTAGAATGATATTATTCTACTTTGGTTCGTCAACTTTTCCAACTAAGCAAGGATTCTTAAAATCTCACTTCTTCTTTCTCTCTCCTACTCCTTTTCCCTTAATTCTCTTCGCAAAGGGAAAGACCCTGGGAAGCTTTTAGATAAAGACATTTCTGTGGATTTTATATAAAAAAACTGTGGTAAGCAAATATATGTAATTATTATAAGTATTTGAATTTTGAATAATTTATATAAAATATTTTATATCCTAAAATTTAGAACTCCAAAATTTTTGAAAAAAATAATCATAAAATATGTTATCATGTCCGCATCACTCTTTTGAAAGTATTTTTTTTTTTTTTTTTTTTTTTTTTTTGGAAATAGATATCAAACAATTATGACTATCCCTGTTGAGTCCTATCTCTTCCTTTGATTTCATTAGCATCATCTGGACGACTTGAAGCTGATGAACTACCATCAGTTTAGAATAACATAATTTGTCATCTACCCTTATGACCCGGATGTGCTCTGACTTGTTGGGATATCCCTATTGGGATGATTTGATTATTTCATAGGCTCTATGTGTCGATGAGCCCGCTACTCATATAGAGGTCGTGAGAGGCACACTCTCTGCCTCGTGGCCTAGTAAAAGCTTTGAAGATATCAAAGATTTCTCTCTATGAGATAACCTCCTTTGATAGTCAGGTGCTAGTTTTCACTACTATTTAAAAAAAACTCCTTTAGATCAAGTGTGTTCATGGAAATCCTTGATATGTAATTAACCAAGTGAGATTACATCCTCTTGGGAGCATTCATGACCCTAGAACAGGCATATACATCTGAAGTTCTGGTTATGAGTAGTCTACGTAGGCATTCTTTTGCGGATATTGGTCCAAAGTGCCTCCACGCAATCTTTTTTCGGTGGACATGCTTAGTATATCCTTGCTAAGTTTATCTGGTGTAAGTTCTCCATATTTTGCTTTTTCTCTTGTTTGTCATCTTTGTTGTATGTTTGTCTTTTCTGATTCCTCACTTCTTCTGATCATTCATATAATCCGGAAGAGAGACTTATTCAGAAAAGTAAAGTATAGACAATCCATAAGCTGACAACTTTTTTAAAATAAAAAGAGAAAAATGAACGAAAACTAAATGACGACTCCACTGAGAATGAGGCTTTCTCTTCACTACGGGAGTTTCCTTCTGTGGATTCTAGTGTATCTGTAAGATTAGAAACTCCTATGAGGAAGGTTCTTCCTCTTTCCATATATGAAATCATGTTACTTGTATGTGAATCTCAACAAATTTGCAGATTTGTGGAACTATTGGGAATGGTGCACTCTCTCCCTCTAAAGGGTATTTTAGTGACCTAGCTTCCTTTTCATCGAAGAGTCACTTTTTGTGTCTTTTTAGACCTTGGAATTAAGATATGTGCATCAGTAGTTAGGGGTAGCAACTTGATGCAATTATGTCACTCCTTGTACCCTTGATGGCTTAATCACCACATTGTCGTGTGCATCACTTCATTGCACCTTTCTTTCATTGGTTTTCTTTAACCTTTCTATTTTTATGACTGTGTCTCTTTTTGCTTGACAGACATGTCAAGAGAGAGAAAGTCGTGTGATTTCTACTATTATGGTGAGCTCTGTCTTCTTTTCCCCCAATATTTTATATGCTTCTGAAGGTGTCATAACCTTCGGTTCTTTCTAGCACCCTGTTTGGATTACCATCGATAATACCATGCCAACCGAGGCATCCACTCTATACCCTCTCTCTATAAGGGGAAGTCCTGCACCTAGAGCCACTCCTATCGTAGCCCTTGTCATGTCTGCCTCTCCTGTAAGGAAGAGGCAAGCGTCTGACAGCGATGCACCGCAGCGCCCTTCAGTCTTCTTCATGTTGTTAGTTTGTTACTCTGTGCTTTCATGAATCTCCCTTCCATTAGTAGCTCGCAGCACTATCGTTGTTACTTCGGTCCCTATCATGGATCTGACACATATTGCCCAGGGTCCTTCTGAGGTTACCTTTTCGTTGAAACTGGGCAGGAGGGCCCGGAGGGCTAAGACTATGTTGCTACAAACTTAGTAACAAGTTCCCTCCTTCGTTCTGATTCCAGCTTGGGTGGAGTCTATGATTCCCCTAGCTGAGAATCAATTCTCTGTTCTTTATGGTTGCGTGGACTACATCCCCGCCAAAATTTGTCAGGAGTTATACACAACCTTGTGTTACTTCGGTCCCCACTGTGGACCTGACACTTGTTGTCATAGGCTCCTCTAGAGATGCCCCTGCTTTGAGATTGAGCATGAGGGCCTAGAAGACCAGAAATCAGTTGTTGCAAACTCAGCAGTATGTTCCTTTTGTCCCCCCGGTTCTGTGGTGGAGTCCTCGACTCCATTGATTGAGAGTTGGCCCTTTGTTCCATATGGCCATGTATATCACCTTCCCGCCATAATTGCTCAGCGACACTCACCACCTCGTGACATGGGTTCTCTCTGACTTGTTGTTTAGATTGACCATTCTTCCATAATTCTTCTGACCAAAAAAATTATCAGGTCAATTTCCTCTCTACGGGGAAAGGGTTCGATTTCTCGAGAACAGCTCCTAGCCCAAATCTTGAAGACATCAGTGTAGGTCATGAAGCGCCTCTTGTACATTCTTTATTCGCAACAACCTCGCAGTAGAAGACCAGGGTTCACCCATCATTCCTCTGTGAGAGTGGGGTATATGTGTTATGCCCTGCAGAATGTTAAGCATGTCTAGGAGTCATCGGGAGCTCCGGATATGGTGCTTGAGTGGGGATGTCCCAGAGCCTTGTTCAGCCCTCTTCATTATTACTTCCATAGCGACACTGACTGCAACTCTTACTATACCTCCTTCTAGTGATGATAATAAAAAGAACGATTTATTTGTCTGTTGCTTTCCTTCTTTGATTTGGTATTCTGCTCGTACTGTTTTTGGTAGCAAGGTGTGATCTGAGGCGCACCACTCTGATACCCCCCATTCATAACTAAGAAAGGGTTATCGCCCAGAGGAAGTG